CATCACTGTGAATATTGTCCTTGAACAGAAACACTCACCACCTCACAACTACCGGCGTCTGGCAATAACTGAGAGTAGCCAGAAAACGCTTGACAGAAGTGGCTGTTTCCCGCCGAAATGATGACTCGTTTGACTGCTCACGTGTAAAACTGTCAACCACAACAAACCTTTATAGTCATTTTTCAAACCTTCATGGAAGTAGTTTCTCCGTTATAACATCACCATCATCAAAATGATAGTCTCAGGTACCGAAGATCAGTGTCTAACAGAGAAAAAAAGACACCTATTGAAACACCTATTTTGTCTATGATAATTACGACTTTCAAAGGCCCACCTATTTTGGTCATTATAACTCACAACAGATCTTCAAGACGAAAAGTGTTCTGAGGCGGCCCCTGAACCTGGAAGTGAAGCCAGCGTTATCGGAGCGCCCGACGTCAAAGCCTCAAGTAATTCCTTGTGGAATTCCAACAAATGACACCAACATTTTTCATTTCCTGTTGATATATTTGTTTGATTGTTTGTTTGTTTGTTTGTTTGTTTGTTTGTTTAACGCCGCACTCAGCAATATTCCAGCTATATGACGGAAGTCTGTAAACAATCGTGTCTGAACCAGACAATCCAGTAATTGACAACATGACCATCGATCCGCGCAAAGGGAATACAATGACATGTATGAACCAAGTTCGCCAGCCTGACCTCCCTATCTCGTAAGTCGTTGATGTTTCGTTGAGCCGTAAGATTGCCCTGGATATGGACCAAACCTGTCTTGCCATGATGTGAGATAGCCGCCCACATCATAAGGCTACCCCCACCAAGCCTGTCCACTTTCTGTACGCAGTTTCCGGCGTAATGTTCTCCCCGACGTCTGAAGATCCGTGCTCTTCCATCCCCTCGACGGAGGGGGAAAAAATTGATTCGTCGCTGAACAAGACATCTCTCCATCGCAGTTGAGGCCATATCCTGTGTCGACAATTCCAATGCAGTCGTTGTTGATGACTCAATATTGTCGACTCAATATGACGCGTCGAACAGAACGTCTTGCTCGTAGACCTGCCGGTCTTAAACGGCTTCGTACGGTCTGGTCGGAGATTCTGCGCAGTCTGGGTATTTGGGGTGTGGTTGAGATGGCTGTGGTCGTCCTTTCATGAAGGTGGCGCAGTCGGATGTAGCGATCTTGGGCGGGGATGGTTACTCTTGGTGTTCCCGACCTTGGCCGATCAAATTTAATGTTGACACATGCTGGTGAAACCGATCCCATTGCCTTGTGATGATCGTGGCTACAGCTTATCGGGATTCCCCTGTCTGCAAGCGGCCTATGACGTTGTTTCTTTGCATTTCTGTTAGTCTTGGCATGTTGTTGAACTTTCACTGATCGAATGACGCAGATGCGAGGCAATCAAAAAATTTGCACTTTAAAACCGTTCATGGTGCTGCTTCACGTGCAGTACGTGCAGCTCCATGGCCCTTTTGTCAATGCACCGGGTGCGTTTTTTCCGAATCATACGTGTTTCCCGACTAATGGTTTGCAAGTCCTTGTTGTGATCATTTTGATCCGGGAAATTTGTCACTGACACTATAACACATTAAACCTTTTCATTTTGTGCCTCTTGGTCCTCTAATTTTGCTTTGATGGCCAAAAATATCCGTATTGCGTTTCTTTTTGTAAGCTGAAAGTAAATGCAGGATATTGGGTATATATAGTATTCTATCCACATCTTCAGATCCAGTAAGAATACTAACCATGCTGTAGGTTACACGATGCTGTGGTATATTCTGCAGGTTACACGATGCAGTGGTATATTCTGTAGGTTATGCGATGCAGTGGCATAATCTGTAGGTTACGCGATGCAGTGGTATATTCTGTAGGTTACAAGATGCAGTTGTATATTCTGTAGGTTACAAGATGCAGTCGTATATTCTGTAGGTTACGCGATGCAGTGGTATAGTCTGTAGGTTATGCGATGCAGTGGTATATTCTTTGGTTACAAAATGTTTTCTTTCGTTTGAAGAACTAAAAAGAAGATTTAACGTAAACGGAACAATACTAGATTATCAACATCTTTTAAATAACATAACGTGACAATGGGGAGAAATAATTAATGATAAAGATTATATTTTATTCAACAAATGTACATGTTTCAACATTGTTTATTTAAATCTATTCTGTCGTACAAAAGGATCTCGGATTTTTTATAATAAATTCATCAGTTCAAACACATTTGATAAAATCTTGAGAAATGGGAAAATATATATCTACAAAAAAAATCCAATGGAATAAAGTATTGACCCAATTTAGAAATTAGATATGTGAAATTGTTAGAGTTCCCGGATAAATTCATATACAACGTTATTTACACACACAAAATATTACTTATATAAAATTGATGGATAATGATGTGTGTTCCTTTTGCAACTGTAATTATATGTATTTTGTAACTGTGAATCTGTTCATGGTTTTGTATGCAAGTTCAGTCATTTATGTGCACAACAGGTGAAGATCCTGGACTAGCACATTCTACACATTACATCGCAGGATAATTGGTTTGTATCCTCGCGTAACACTTTTGGGCTGGGAGTAGTGATTTTGGTGTTTTGGGGGTCTTTGAGGCATACCCTCTTGGCCCTATTGTATAATGGTGGTTCTAGAGCCTACAGCAGACCCCCTATGCGCTTTTCCCTGGGGGGTCCCATCATTTGGCTCCGTATGGTTTGTACCCGCGGAGCCGCGTTTGCTGTTCTGTCCGGGCACCTTCGCGTTGACAGTCAGACGTGTTTAGCGTTTCCCAGCCCAGGAGTGTTCTCCAGTCCTTGTACTTTTCTGTATATAAACCTGCGTCCTTACATCCAACTCAAGTCTTTGTTTTTTCTTGCAATGGTGCAGCATCTACTTCTGCTAAAGCATTATCCTAAAATAATGATGTGTGTTCCTTTTGCAACTGTACTTATAGCTAAGATCTTTTATTATGTATTTTGTGACTGTGAATCTGTTTATGTTTTTTTGTATGCAAGTTCAGTCATTTATAAAAAGGAAGCCTTAAACTTGATATCACGAGACACACTAGTATTGTCTCTGGACTTGATACTGGTAACACTGTTGTGAACCATATTCTCCTAGCAGGTAAAAGATTTACTTGAGACCCAGGCATTAAACAGAAAAAGTTAACATTTGAGACCTTTTTGCCACGGTTGTCAAGGACATTTGTAAAACAGAAAATAAATTGCTTGTAACAATAATACTCAATATTTATTTCTCAAAAATGGATGTATTTAGTAAACATACTCTGTTTGATCAAGAATCACATCATATTTGTTTTTTAGATTTAAATTCTACTCATCGTTTATTATTTTATTTTTAACAGCTACGTTTGAAACCATAGCAATCAATTTTATCTAATTTGATTTTGTTTTCATGTCTTCAAGTCACGTTCAGGGGTACCATTGATTGATTGAAGCACAACATAAAAAATTGTAATTACAATTCTGAATACATTATACACTTGTTTATACCCATATATTCCCTGTTTTAGAATAATGACTCCCACCATGTACAATTTTGTTAATATCACATGCTATTGTGTCATAGATTCCTTAATATGGTCTCTGTATACTACTGAAATGGAATAAAAACTGTTTGAAAAAACAACAACCACGTTTGTAACTGGTGTGAGGCGAGAGTGTTTGTTCGTTTGTTCAATTAACTTTGAACTAAAAACGTGAGTAACGACATTCTTAATCATATGGCACCCATCATTTGATACTTGACAATTTCAGGTAGAAAGTGTATAATCCCCGCATCGACGTTATCATGCATGACTTACACTCTGAGTAAAAACTGATCGTTGGTCGAAGCACGCGAGTTTTAAACTTGAGCTGAGTTTTGTGGCATATGTTACAGAAAATTGATAACATAGCATGACGTGTAATTGGCTTCACAGGTCCATAGAATAGGAGATAGCTTCAGTCACGTTCCACACTGCACATGTGTAAGGCACGCCTATAGTCAGTGTGTATATGGCACACCCATGATATCACCACACATGCTGCATATTATAAGGGGCTGTCGGGTGGCCTAGTGGTTAAAGCATTCGCTTGTCACGCTGAAGACCCGGGTTCGATTCCCGACATGGGTACAATGTGTGAAGCCCTTTTCTGGTGTCCCCCGACGTGATATTGCTGGAATATTGCTAAAAGCGGGATAAAACCATACTCACTCACGCATGTCTTTATTGCTTTGATTGGTTGTTCTTTTTAGCCGAAGTCAGCTGTATGACGGTGATCTCTAGGCCTCGACCAGGCAATCCAATGAGAGTGCTTCTAACTGAAATACGCAATACACACTACCGTATACGAAATAACATGGCAACGAAGCATGTTGGCTTTGTCTGCTTGTGGTTCTTCTTGCTAAACGATTTTGGAATTTTACATTGCGAGAAAAGGTGACGCATTGTTTAATATATAGGACACTGTGCCACAAGACCACCGAGGCGGTCCTGTACGTTGGCTACTTGGTGCAAGGTCACAACCTTTCTGTGGAATGACAATGTCTGAATTTTTATAGTGAATAACAAGATAACTTGAGTTTTACTTAGTATAATTAGCATGGACAAGGTGTTTTACGAGTTAGTGTCTTGATTGATTATCGGAGCGTATTGGTTGCTTTTCAACGAGTGCATCTTTTGTCTGAATGAGAATCATAACTAGCGATCTGTCCAATCTGGCCAAAATGTATTTTGAACCTGATTTGAATTTCGTATTGCTCACCACCGACAACATGTTGATTTTTTGCAATACTCCCAACATTATAATCTCTAGTTCTGATTATACCTATGACCTGACCAAGGCCTATCTCATCGAGTAATAGATGAAAGACAAATGCTGGCAGCTAGAGCGTATGGTGGTTCTATCCTTTCCATAAACAACAAGTAAATGCAAAGGATGGTGTTATACTACATGTATTTTATTACACCTTCACGCCTTGTAATCTTATCTGACAACATTCATTGTTGATCTCCGAACGAAGGCGCAATAAGGTAGCCAGAAAATGACGTACAAACCTCGTTAGATCTTCCAAACAAATATGAATTTGCTCCTTGGGATTGTACCCATACCTGGTCCCCCTTCTTCAGTTGTAGTATAGCGGAGTTGCTTGCACCGTCATTTTCATCACTGGAATGAGCATGAACACTCACAACAAGATTGTTGTTGTGCATGAGCTCCAGCCACAGCGATTTTTTCTTTTGAGTTAAAGCGTGGACTTGGAAGCTGTAGATCCCGCTCTGGGGACATTTGAACCTCCCCGTATGTCTGTCGTACGCCTTGCCGACGTTCAGGAATATGTTGGTGTTCCGAAGGACTTGTCCACGGGTAATCAATACATCATGCGACAGACCAGTTGAAAAGGCAATCTGGTACACTGGTTTACCCATCGCAGCTGAAACAAAACATATTTTTATTGAAAATAACCAACGATTTATTGGGAATTACTCATAATTTGTCCCGGGTAAATGAATTATCTATATCCCCTGCGTTTAGGTGCGCATTCAACTTGGATAGATAATATTTATATTCCGATTTTCGAGAATTTCAAACCAAAATTGAAGAAAAAGTATAACATTTACAAAAACCTTGTCGATCTTCTTTTATCCTGACAATAATTAGTATCGATTTAATAGCTTTTGGAAAAATAATTAAAAAATTAATAAACTTCACTAAAATCGCGCCATATCTGATGAATCAGCTTTGCAAATGATCAATGTATGATATTTGTGCAGATACTAGAACTTTAAGCATATCGAATGTTTATATCATAATATGTTGATTTCCACTTAATAGGATGAATTCTTATTGTTGAATGAGCGTTTCAGGATGCCAGTTAAGAGTTTTATATTACAGAAGATAAAATCAAGTTTTAGGGTCATATGAAACGACAATGAAATGGCTCTAGCTCTGCCACTTGGTTCATGTATCCATCATACGCTAAAGGTGTGGGGCGTTGCTCGTGGTATCAGCCACTGGTTTCTCTGACTCGATTATAATTATTTGCATCTCGCAGTGCTAATAACTTAAACCAATATATAACATGTAAAGGGAGAAGGGACCACGTTCGCCTAGTACATTAGATTTCTTTACATCCAAAGCCTCTTACATGCCTTTATCTGTACAGATTTTTATATTTAAAACTTGTATATCACTCGTATATCAGATTCACAAAGTAGAGTGAGTGAGTGAGTTTGGTTTTACGCCGCTTTTACCAATATTCCAGCAATATCACGGCGGGGGACACCAGAAAATGGGCTTCACATATCGGAAATCGAACCTTGGTCTTCGTGACGAGCGAAAGCTTTAGCTACTAGGCTTCCCGACCACAAAGTAGAACTTGTGCAACTTTAGTATCGATTATCAGCAAAAACAGGTCATCAGGATTGGCTTCAAATTTATTGGCTTTAATAGTTATCTTAAAACATAGAACAATATCTTCTAAGCCAATGTGCTTGCATATATATGGCCCCGAAACAAACTTTCATTAAAAGTAACTCCTAAGTACATTCCAACACCTTCCGGTAATACCACTTTTCACTTATGCCAGGATACCCCTTTCTTAAAAAATACACCTATTGTCTTTTACAAGTAAATAGCAAATATTTTCCTAAGACACCATATTTTCTATCATAAATAAGAACACCACCACAAGTGAACAATAAAGAGAACAAATGCACTATGTCTTGATATGACTGAATGCAAAAACTACAAGATGATTCGATTTCCTGTGCTGTCTCACTAATGAACATCGAAAATAAATAGTGGCTGAGTACACAAACTTGACGAACACCAGTGCTACATTCACACACGTCTAACAAAGATAATTTACACATCATTGGACTTCAGAATAAATAGACTGAGCACATTTTACCATTTTGGATGAAACAGCACTTCTCTTTAGTACTGTCCACTATATTGTTCAAGTAATGAAACCAAATGCTTTAGAAAAATCAATGAATCGCTTTTTTCATTAAAACCGCTGAATAACAGAGTAAATATATTATTATTGTTTGAGTATCCACTGCGGAAATCTGTATGCAATGCCACAAGTTTTTTATATACATCATCAGCCCAAAATCTTAAACAAGATTTTAGAATTGAAACATGGTAGCAAAATATGCTTAATATAGTAATAACCCTTTTAATATTTGGAGAATGCACATCCCCTTTAAAATATATAGTGGCTGAGAACACAAACTTGACGAACACCACTGCTACATTCAAACAGGTCTAACAAAAATAATTTACACATTATTGGACTGAGCATATTTTAACATTTTGGATGAAACAGCCCTTCTCTTTAGTACTGTCCATCTTGTTCAACAAACATTACCTGCGCCTCGGCACAGTAGCTGGCGTCACAGGAAAAATCAATAGGGTCGATAATGCGTCGGTGGAGATGACTTTCCCACGATTTTCATATTCATATTTCACTTTAATGATACAACGTCCGCCCGGAGAACGGAAGGTTCTAGGTTCGATGGTACTTGTTGTACCCCATTTCAGCTCACCACCTTTAATAATCTTCAATAGTTTCTAACTAACGATGTAAAACGAAATCTAATCGAATTTTGAGCTGATAACTTACATGGATCAAATATGAGCGACACCCGCCATTTCTTGTCACAGACAATGGGACTGTCTCAAACTATTTTGTAAATTATTTCAAATTCATACAAATGTGATTTAGCGATGCTCTGTTTTTCATTGTTTTGCTAGTGACACGTGCATCAACCTACCCTTGCCCATCGAAATGATCTTACATGTGTGACAACCGGTGACGACCAAGTCAACTGCATTCCTTATATACGGATGTTATAGTACGTTTTACCATTGTGGAAAAACTACTCAAACGTGCAGGGTTGATGTGTATTTGAGGAAATTATGGATCCAATCAACAAGCACATGCTTATGTTTTCGTTAAAAAAAATCACGGCCAAGAAGGGAACAGAATTTTGAGTCTACCCTTCAGATATACAATTCTACAGAAGGGTCGTTAAATACGCAGGTCGATTTTTGCGTGTAGGCATACAGTAAGTGGTTCCTCATTATGTAAGCATCACGGAAATATAATTTCCTATGTTAAACACGAAAACATATACCTTGGTGTGTGTTTGAGTACAGCTTACATAATGTTACAATTCATATGAGTAAGGTCACCGCTGTTGGCAGATTTAACCGATTTTAACTTGCCCAAAAGTATCACAAACCATATGAAGACTCGTGATTTGTTAGTCATCTTTGAATGCAGGACCAATGAATACATACTGATTATGCATGTAGCCGTTTTATTTAATTAACATTTTCCTTTGTGTTAACAGGTATTAAGAAGAAGGCGGTGGGCACAGTGTAACACTATAAGTCAAAGTACCTACTAATTTTTTTATCATATACAATCCGCATATCAACAAAGGATACCCCTTATGGAATATAAGTATCTAACTTACTGTTTAGGGGGACCCTCTCGATGTTCAATCAGCACCGTTGCATATAATTGTAAGTAAGTTATTTTCAACTTACCCGCAAGGACCACCAACACAAGGAAGATACTGCATAGGTTCATCTCTGAAAGTGTTAGGTATACCTTCGTGCAGAGATGGTTATAAAGCATACAGGTGTGAAAGTCATTAGCATGGGTATACCAGGATATAGATAGAATCACTGCAACATGTGCTCGTGTCTGTCAGTGAATAGAATACGTATGTAATTACGTATGGGAGTATGGCGAGAACTTACTGCCACGTGAATTGAAACAGTCAAAACAAATTCATGAAACATTGTGCAATTCTTGTAAATCAATGTGTTCATGAAATATGGAGGCATGTAGAAGTAATACAAGATCCCGTCTGTATCCATACCCCTATTGCCGCCACACACAAAAATTACGTATTTACTTATTTTATTATGTTCATGTCACCAGACGTGAACGTAGGTTCATTACATATATACATGTACATACATGTACATATACATATTTAGGGGCACGGGTGATCATGACCAAGTCGTCTAAGGCGCCGCGATTTTCTGTGTGGAGTAGTGTCCCTCGTGCACGCCAGAAACCTATGATTATGGGTTCGAATCCCGGTTCGCCCCGATTATTACCCCCTAAACACCTTCAGCGTCTGGCCAGAAAGTGTCGTACAACAAGCGCTCGCCCAGCATGCATACGATTTCTAATTTGGTCTGGTCAGCAACGTGAACACCGATGGCCTGGCACGGGTGCACAACGATTTGATAGGGCCTGGTTTCTGATTAGTCGACCCTGGCTTTTTTTGTGCAGGGCCAATCATTAACACTTTGTATCTGCATGCTGAGCCTGGGAATGCTTTCCTTTTGTCTTCATGTCCACTGCGGACACATACCAAATCTGTCAATTTGTCTGCCTACTTCCAACACTGTTTCCTGACTCGTGATATTCAACTGAGAAAAATTCTGGACAATAGTGAGTGCACTGTCTAGAGTAATAGGGCCTATTATCAATTGTTGCTGTCACATATTTTGACCGATTGAATTACCTTTTTACCCAATCCTGTGTATATCAATATGTGTTGTTAATTACTCAACGAGGTGAGGTGAAATCGGGTTTAACGTCGCGTCCAGGATTATTGCACTTATATTAGCGACGTGCATGCACGTGAGAGTGTGGCTGCTTGTACTAGTCCGGACTGATGCCGATTTATAGTGCCGCAGTTTGACATATATACCCCACTCAGACACGGCATACTGACTCCGAGCCGACCAGTCCTTGTTTTAGCCCCTTAATGCCGAGCGTCAGACAGGGTAACAACAAGTACCATCTTTTAATGTCTTTTAGGATGACGCTTCCGGGGATCGAACCCCGGACCCCCGGGGGGACGCACTACCACAAGAACACGGAGGCGGTCTTAATTACTCAATGTTCATTTGATATTTACTCAATTACAATTAACATGTATTCCTGGACTTGACAGTTTTCGGGTTAACCGTGGCGTTTCAACTTGCAAACAGGTAACACTACGTTAAAATGACTAAAATTTACAGGAGGTAAACTGAACTACAACACAAAACAATGAGAAAGGAAAGTTTAATAGATGAATTGGTAACATTCGAAATCACCCAATCTATGTTACATGAAGCTGTTTGATTATTTCTTCTAACAAGTCCAAGCAGACAGCCCGTTTGTTTGGTGCTTCTAATTCAGGGCAACAGAGCCAGTGGGATATCACTCGCAATAACACCCCAATGGGATCTGACCCGTGAAGATCCGGGGTAGAATACAGGTCTTTAGCAACCCATGCTTGGCGTAAAAGGCAACTATGCTTGTCGTAAGAGGCGACTAACCGGATCGGGTGGTCAGACTCTCTGACTTGGTTGATGCATGTCATCGTATCCCATTTGCGTGGACCCGTGAAGATTCAGGGGTAGAATAGGTCTTCAGCAACCCATGCTTGCCGTAAAAGGTGACTATGCTTGTCGTAAAAGGCGACTAACGGGAAAGGGTGGTCAGGTTCGCTGACTTGGTTGATGCATGTCATCGATCCCAATTGTGTGGATCGATGCTCATGATATTATTCACTGGATTGTCTGGTCCAGACTCGATTATTTACAGACCGCCTACATATAGCTGGGATATTGCTGAGTGCGGCGTTAAACAACAAACCAAACCAAACCATTTGCGTGGATCGATGCTCATGCTTTTAATCACCGGATTGTCTGGTTCAGACTCGATTATTTACAGACCACCGTTATATAGCTTGAATATAGCTGGAATATTGCGGCGTTAAACAACAAACTAACGAACCAACTGTATATATTTATATTATCGGTAGAAGCCCATCAAAGCCGGGACAACCTGAAATGACGGATGTAATGTCTAAATGCAAGGACGCGGGGCGGTACACCTGCCACACAGTGTGACAAAGAGATAACAGACACGCATGCAGGCACGCTGCACAATGTTGAAGGGGTGGATATTTATTTACATTCTGTCATCGTGTTACAACGCATCCTGCTAACCGACCGCCTCAGTGGTCTAGTGGAAGACCGTCCGCCTGGAGAGCGGAAGGTCCGGGGTTGGATCCCCGGGCGCGTCATACCAAAAGACGTTAAAAGATGGTACTTGTTGTTACCCTGTCTGGCGCTCGGCATTAAGGGGCTAAAACAAGGACTGTTAAGCTTGGAGTCAGTATACTGTGTCTGAGTGGGGTATTCATGTTAAACTGCGGCATGGTATCTCAGTGAGCTAGCACTATAAATCGGCATCAGACCGGACTAGTACAAGCAGCCACACACACGTACATGCAGGTCGCTAAATAACTGCAATTATCTTGGACGATTTCATCCATCACATCCTGCTAACCCGTGCAGATCCAGGATAGAAAAGGGCTTCAGGAACCCATTCTTGCCGTAAAAGGCGACTATGCTTGTTGTAAAAGAGGCGCCTGTAAATAATTAAGTCTGAAACAGACACCAGTGATTGACATCATCAACAGGCTCGCTGACTTGATTGATGCATGTCATCGATCCCAATTGCGTGGATTGATGTTGATGATGTCAATCACTGGATTGTCTGTTTCAGACTTAATTATTTACAGACCGCCGTCATATAGCTAGAATATTGCTGAGTGTGGCGTTTAACAACAAACAAACCAACCAAACAAACATTAACTCTCCTACCACAAAATTCGCCATTGAAGTAGCAATATGGGCAAACCACAGATATTTCACAAATCCGAAAAAACTCCAGTCAGCCCTGGGCGGAGTAGATCAATGATGCAATAAATTGGGGTTCACCCTTTCAAGTGTAAATACTATGAGAGTTCTATTCAAACGCAGGGTTAAAAGATCCTGTGATATCCCGTCTATACAAAAAAGGCAAACTAATCAAATCAGAAAAATCCGCAATATCTATAGGGGTTACCCTAGATCAACACCTCACTTGGACAAAACATATAGAATATGTGGAAAGTGGATATATTAAAGACCTGAATGTATTACGGGCAATTTCAGGTACATCTTGGGGCACAACCAGGGACACTCAGCTGGACCTCTTCAAATCACTTATCAGATCAAAAATGGTTGATGGTTTTGAGGCATTTCACTCAGCATCAAATACTGTCTTGAGCCGCTAGACAAAATACACTACAAAGTCCTAATGCTTGCCACAGGTGCAGCAACAGGTATTTAACTAGAAGCACTGCAAGTAGAAACAGGAGAACTCCAATTGAAACTAAGAAAAGAGCAGGCAATATTTTCGTTTTGCGGACGAACATCAAAAGCTTTGGTGAAAAAAATATAGCGAGACAAAGTACCCAAACTCCATCACTAAAGCCAACTGTGATATTAGTAAGTGAACTCATCCAAAGTCACAATTATGATGACACTCAGCCACCAGAAACATACTACAAAGGGTTACAACCTCCGTGGACTTTAAAAACTCCCACAGCTGACACTGTTGTAACATCAGAATTCACTATAAAAAAAAACCTACAACGATCTGTAGCTATCACTAAAATTAAACTATCTGGGATGGATCGATACTAGAATACCAGCAACAACAGTGCTGGTTACAGGATCAATATCCACAGCTCCAAACACCAAGAATATTCGCCTTGCCCGATGGTCAGCCAGTATTCACTGCTGTATTGGAGGCAATTCATCATGCACTAAATGTCATACCGGAACTACCGAAAGCAAAGGCAGCCATCCTATCAGCTTTGCTACGTGCAGTTTAAGCCATCAGCGACAGAAACTCAAACTCCAGGCCAAACAGTCAATAATATTCTATACGAATATACAACAGGTGGAGCTGTGTTGGATCACCTCTCACACATATATTAATGGATATGAAAAGAGCAGACACACTGGCAAAGCTAGCGCAACATAAAGCGGAAATACAGCCTGTTCCCTTATGAAAACTAATGATAAAAAGCAAAATCAAAGTTTCCATATCCCAGAGATGGCAAGCCCAGAGGGACGCAAGTAAGATCTGCAGATGGCTGTACACATTTAAACCCAAGAACCACCAAAAGCCATACTCATACTCAAATGAAAGGAAAGTTGAAATAGCCATCTCACGCCTCAGACTCAGTCACAATAAGCGCCATGACAAGGTTTGTCCATCTTGCAGTCATACTTAAATCATTGCTCGCTTGTTGCTGGAATGTCAAGACCATGCCCCAGCCCGGGCTCGGTTGAAACAAGAATTGCAGTTAGATCCGCTATATGTCGTAGATCTCCTAAAGCCAAGAGATGCACTAGCGAGGAGCAAACTGACTCTAATAATAAAACTATATCAATTTTCGAAAATAGAAATAATATCAATACAAAAACAGAAATTCTATGAATAACAAAACTCGCAATAGATATGTGTAACCTACTCATACAAGAGTCCCAAAGAGGGAGAGGTTCAGCCGAAATTGCTAAGGCAGAAGCCGACCTCTTAAACACTTAATTAAGGCAACAACAACAAGAATGGTTCTGTAGTTTGACGATGGCTAACCCACAGCGTGTCGTGCTCGTTGAATCAAAGCGAGTTGGGAGAGAGGTCTTACTCAGGTATAGACTGAACAACTGACGACTTAAATGCATATGCATAAGTGTGTTACTTCTGGCTGTCCTGGCAAATGCACCACTGTTCATGCATATGTCAGGAACGAGTCTCCGCACATTCATCCGCCAGAAAATGACAAACAAACAAGATTTCTGAGTACCCTGCGTCAGCGTGTGGACACTGAGTCCCTGCCTGTTCCTCGCATATGTGATGAAGATGTATCAAGATTGGCCCGTGAAGAAGCTGCTGTTCTCCAGTCACATCAGACCTTGCGCCCTGGCTTGTATAGGAGATGACAGACGAATATCCGAGTCCTGCCGCATTCCCCTGCAGCAGTTGACCTTCCCATCCATTGGACAAAAAACTTTACTGCAGACAACAAGAGCTTTCTCTGTGTCAACGATGGAAGTGATGACCGTATTCTCTGCTTTGCCTCAGATGACCAACTTCAACTTCTTCAGCAGCTTGACCTCATATACAAGGATCGAACATTTTACTCTTATCCCCTTTGTGGGTTCCAAGATGACACAACGACTGGGCATGACACATGCCTACTAGGAGGATCCAGACCCGAACCGTTTGGTGAGACGTGCCCCCACTTTACCCTTGCTGCCGCTGTTCGGTACACGACACCTGGGTCGATGCCATGGATGAAATGCTACATGTTCCCCCAGCTATCCTCTTCAATGATTTTATAGTGACCGATTGGGTTAATGATGCAGCACAATTCCTCCCTGGCATATGGAATCACCATGACAACGTCGAACCGCACACTAACAACCACCTGGAAGGATGGCATGCTCACCTTAACAGAACTGTTCAAAGTGCGCATCCCAACATCTTTGCCTTGGTCAGGACCCTGCAACGACTGGAGAAAACAGAACGAATCAAGCTGGCGTGGTACCTCAATGGTGCCCGACCCCCACCACGAAAGAAGATGACCGTGAACTGGAGCAACATATCGTCAGGCTCAAGGAACCTCTACAGATCCGTTTAGTGAGTCCGCTCCAGTTCCCTGATGCTGCTGAGCGACTGCTAAAACTGGACTGGTATTAGTAGTATTACAAGTATTATAAGGGTTGGCATGGATTTCATATTTTCATTGTAAGGTTTTTTATGTCAATTGTAATATATGTGTGTATGAGTGTAATAAGATTATTTGGGGATCAAATGTTGGATTTTAAATTGTGAGAAGTGTCAAATATTTCTCATCCCCTCTTTATTATGTTCATATATATGAAATAAACCACGAGTCTACTTCAAGTCTAAAGTTATTCCTTTCTTGTTGCATGGATAAGTTCATTACGGTTTAGGGATGTAGCTTTTGCTGTTGTGTGCCCTGAACCATGAAGTTGTTTTGATAACACTGCAGACAAAGTGCACTGTAGGCAATAAGAGAAGACAACTTTGTTTTTTTGTGAGTATCTCATGCCGCGAGCAGAATGTACTTTGCACACGGCACGCGACGGACTTTCACGTGACCGAGCAGACGACAAACTGAAGACGAAATAACACAGTTGTTTGAGCAGGTAACGCGAAGAAAATGCAGTATGTGACCTGGGTAAAAGTGTTCACTCTATTTCTGCTGCATCTAACATGTGCATATGCACAAGAAGGTGAGATAATGAATCTGTCAAAATGTATGCAAAGTGATGACACGTCAAACATGTCTTGAATCTTGTACATACCATTATTTAAATTCTGAAAAGGAGCTCTGTGGACCTCATCAACCTATGCTGGTGGTAAGAGGCGACAAAACAGATTCGATGGTCAGGCTCTGTGACTTGGTTAAAAGCGGGTCATCGTACCCCGACGGCGTTGATCGTCCCTCATAATAGTTATTTATAGGCCTTCATCATCAAGCTGGTATGCTGCGGAGTGCCGCGTTAAACAACAACAACAAAACCAATCGGAAAAGGATATGTACTCTAAATCATTGTGTAGAAAAAAGAGAGTGAACATACTGTATGGATGGAACATTGAAGTCAAATAATAATTGATCCAAACTATTGCATTGTTTTGTAATCATGTCACTTTTATTTCGATGCATTTGAGAGTTTCACAATCTGTCAGTGGTGACAGTAATGGCCGCTTATGTTGTTCCAAACTTGTAAAAACATGCACATCCTGTATCGTCGTGAAACCTGAATCTGAAGCTAGTCCTATTCATGTCCTTTACATGTCAGGGATAAAGCACGACTCCGAGGTGGTTGTTGAGGAGGTAATAAGTAAGCGTCGCGGATGAGTGCTTTAACTCAATTATAAACCGTCTAAATGCAAGAAATGATAAAACAAATAAGAAAACATCGATGTGGGTGGGAAATAAATTATTTCTGTACACAGTTAAATCGGTACAAGCTAAAATAAATAAACAATAACACTCAGCAAAAATGAAAACAAAAAGCAAAATAATTAAAAATAAATCAAATTAACAAACAATAAATATACCTTTAAATTATCAATGTAATAGTGAGAATGCACCTTTAAATTAGACTTAAATTTATACCCAAATATTATACCTTGTACCTGTAAAATAAACAAACATACTTTGTTTACATCTATAAATAGACATTTTATGATAAAATAATAAATTTTGAAATAAATAAATGACAAAATAAAAACTTACAAATACTGTGGATTTTCCAACCCATAATAAATTCTTTGCGATTCCTTATAAATCTTCTTTGATTTCCTTTTGAACGCTTACATGTCTGTCTTGAGAGAACATGCGGTATTGGATGACAGGAAGTAACTTTAAAATCAGGACGATATCCTGAGCATTCTGACACGGATTTTTAACAAGGAAAAAACCATTAATACCACAAATGTAGTAAAAAGAACAAAAGTTAAATATTTAAAATACCAAGCTGAACTGAATGAATTTCTTTGAATAAAAAATTAATATACCAAATACTAAAAATGTCAAAATAGAAGTAACAATCGATACATCTTATAGTGAAACAATACAGTGTGTCGCAGTATAAAATGAATTCGATCAAAGCGTGCGAGAGATGAAACACGTGCAGCAGAGACAAAACTAAGTCATGACATCTAAAATTGAACACTCTTTCACCACCTGCCCCGGTGACTCAGTGGGAAAACAGTGGATATTACAAAACTTAATACGATTTTTGAGGTCGCATACCAGGTCTGATTTGCAAAAAGTAAAACCTCTCAAGTGGTTATTACGAGATCGAGATCGTAAGGTATCTACAATAACATTGGCAAAGGTGGCATTACATAGGATAACATGACATAAGATGGTTAAGAACCCTTGGCCTGTGTTGGAGTTATAATGCATGTATTTGTGCAAGGGCATGTACATTACGGCTACGGCTTCGAGAAAACTGGAAACTTTATCACAAAAGATGGTGTAATCGTAATGTTCATAGCCGTGTGACCCGAAAAGAGCCGGGGTAGAATAGGTCTTCAGCAACCCATGCTTGTCGTAAGAGGCGACTAACGGGATCGGGTGATCTGACTCGCTGAGTTGGTTAATGCATGTCATCGTATCCCAACTGCGTTGATCGATGCTCATGATGTCCATCACTGCATGGTTTGTCTGGTCCAGACTCGATTATTTACAGACCGCAGTCATATAGCTGGAATATTGCTGAGTGCGGCGTCCTAGCCCCTGTGCAGGCAGCTTGACTTGATTCACAAGAAAATTTAATTATGTCATATCGTGCACAGGCTCAGAAACTTCAGGTATATTATATATGGGTGAGGTGAGGTGAAATTGGGTTTAACGTCGCGTCCAAGATTAGTGCACTTATATAGCGACGTGCAAGTACGAATATGTGTTTGTGTGGCTGCTTGTACTAGTCCGGACTGATGCCGATTTATAGTGCTAGCTCACTGAGATACCATGCCGCAGTTTAACATGAATACCCCACTCAGACACAGTATACTGACTCCGAGCCGACCAGTCCTTGTTTTAGCCCCTTAATGCCGAGCGCCAGACAGGGTAACAACAAGTACCATCTTTTAACGTCTTTTGGTATGACGCGGCCGGGGATCGAACCCCGGACCTTCCGCTCTCCGGGCGGACGCTGTACAACAGGTATTATTATATATGGGGACCTCAAATAGTTCAACCATTGACAACATAGCATTGTAAATTCTATGCTATATTCAATGTTGATAAATATTACTGATAAACATATTCTAACAGCCAAACATGTTTGCGTCCCACAGATATCGAAATGTCAATTATTTGCGTCCATTCACAATTTGTATGATTGTAGTAAGCCCTGATGTTACAGTAAATCTAGCATAGACGCCGATTCACTGTGCACAGTTAATGAAATTCGTGCATAACCTGTTCTCGTCACGTTATGACTGACATATTATATTACCGATGCGACGCTACTTTATAACTCACTCACGTAGACGATAGAGCATTCTCTACGGGATCTTCACTGGAAGGCACGAACTGTTGGTGATCCTATGTGGGAATGTCTCTCAAGGCGTGTTGTTGTCGACCCCACTCTTCGCGCCCACGTCCGTGTTTGCTCAAGCATATAGCGACATCTTTTCTGTAATGTTTGTAAGATTTAGAGAGTCTTCATGTTTACCTAAATCATTTTGGTCAATATTTATCTTTTGGTATTTACTTCAGGTTCACAGGTTCAATGTCAAAACGACTTAAGCCATCTTTGTCGGTTAATATTGACAAGCTACGTTGACATACAGTGTAATGTGTGATATACCTTACCTTCACGACCCGTGAAGATCCTAGGTAGAATAAGTCTTCAGCAACCCATGCTTGCTGTAAACGGCAACTATGCTTGTCGTAAGAGGCGATTAACGGGATCGGGTGGTCAGGCTTGCTGACTTAGTTGATGCATGTCATGGTATCCCATGGATCGATGCACATGATGTCAACCACTGGATTATCTGGTCCATACTCGATTATTTACAGACCGCCGTCATATAGCTGGAATATTGCTGTGTGCGACTTTAAAGAACAAACAAACAACCAAACAAATCTTACCTTTCCAAATTTCACCCCAGATACTGTGTGTCATCCTGACCTGATATCGTACATCCTTGCTCGTATCATACAATGACCGATCTCAATCTTCAGATTTGCGGCATATTATTAGTTATGGCGTCTTTATTTGCCGTTTACGATGTCATATTAGGTTTGCAGAAAAGAAATATTTGGTGATGCGTAAATCGAGCCCAATATTATATTCTGCTTACCGAATATGACACCGAATACGGCAAATATAGACACCATAACGAATTTTTATGCCGAAATCCTTTTTACTGTTATCTTTATCGCACATGTCATGTCAAAGTTACAACCGTTAAGGGTCAAAGGGAGACTACTCTTCAAACCTTATTGGTCCACTATAATCACAAGATACGCTCGTGAATCGTCCTCAAAAACATATAAGTAACGGTTCTTCGTTGTACATCACTGGAGACGACGTGAAGGTCGATTTGACATTCAATACCTGGTCATCTATTTGAATACCTTTCGACACTACTATTTATAGTTTTTTTTCCGTACAACGCGTTCAGCAGGAAGTGTTCAATTAAAGTGTTCATACACTAAGCCCTCCTGATAGCATGGAGAAAGCTGGGGACCTTTTCTTATTCTTATTCTCAATAACTCTTCCCCCAAGTAAACTGACTGATCCCCCCTCTACTACCGTGCCACGTTTCAAATGAAGAATGTTGCATTTGTCGAGCCCAAAGGACATGCCAATATCATTAGAAAAGGACTGGACAAACAGAATCTGTTTTTAGTGTGGATCCTTCATTGGCAATAAGTTCAAAGTCATCCATGTAAAGGAGGTGAGTAAGGGGTGTTGACAATAACTGGTCATTCGGCAAATACCTTACGTCACTACTATTTATAGTTTTTCCGTACAATGCGTTCAGCAGCAATTGTTCAATTCAAGTATTCATATACTAATAGCATGGAGAAAGCTTGGGACCTTTTCTTATTCCACATGGGCAGCCATTAAAAACTTAAAATATTATCAGAAAATGTTAAACTCATCTCTGAGAAATTATTCCAACTATATGATGGTACCCGGTGGTCTGTCATTGATAGAGCCTGAGGCAGACACATCCGTGATTGATAAAATAATTTCCTACTTTAAAGTTTCCACTGTTTCTTTCATGCTGGTTGGCTGAATGGGTAGTCACGTGATCTGATATTTGGAGTTTACACTCCTGTGAACGGACTGAAAAGTTCACACGATGTGAACAATGTTTTGTGAAACTTTTGCCGGAACTAATTTCCGGGGTTTCCCCGAATTCTCGATTGGTGTTTCAATCAATAGGTAAGGAAAGAAACTTATATTTAATAAAACCCTAGAAATTGCCTACCTGTTTTACCTATTGGTCATCGGAGACGAGAAAATATCCGTAGACGGAATTACTATTACGGTTTCTGAGTTGGCCGACCTACTCCGTGCATTCTAGGCCAAGAAGCGGCGGCACATGAGGAATGACGGGGCACAGAAATGAAGCTTGCATCAGGTCATACAGTAGGTCCATCTCAGGTGACAAGAAACACCAGCTAAGCAAAGTATTACAGCACACACAACAAATCCAAAACTCAAAATATAACACACCCTGACGTTGAAAAATAACACAAAACACACAAGTTTCAGAGCACTCGGTTCAATCCCCACCAGTCGCAAGCTTGGAGGTTCACATAGTTTAACCAGCACTTTTAAATTGTTCACACTTCAATGAACCCATCCAAACTGACGTTCATTTCGTAAATGAACCACACCGCCAGAGAACGATGAAGTTTTAACCAACTCAGGGAGCCTGACCACTAATTAAACATGCCTAGGTTGATGCAGAGATATTCTAACACCGAATCTTCCCTATGGGGCGTGATCATTATGCTACAAGTACATTTATTGTATATATATGTTACAGGGAATATGTATTATCAGGGAATATGTATAGTCCCTGAAATTTTATATATAGTTAATGTCTCATTCACTCAGGGAATATACATAATCCCTAACATTTTCAGGTATTATACATATTCCTTGACTTGACATCAAGTTTTTTAAACATATTCCCTGAAATTACTTTTGATGCTCTTATATGGTCAAACTTGATAAAAAAAGAAAAATTATGAGAAGACAAATTTATTTGACATGATAACAAATACCTTTCTCTTCACCTCATGAAGAGCCCAACCGTTAATCAAACCACGACCTCCCATAATGATTGGTAAATATGAGCGATTGAGGGAAGAGCGAGGGTGGTGGGATCTATTGTCTGACATGATTCTTTGTGTGAGGGTGTCAATACCCTTAATTTCTTGTTTCGTCCAATCAACAACACCAAAAGAATACGAAAGGATGGGCAAAGCATAAGTATTTGTGGTTTCCAGATTTTCTTATGTCTACATTTGTACTCTGCCTGAAGTTTTTCCTTGATATGGGCATTCTGGAGTTTCTTATCTGCACCCCTAACTACGTTTAGGCCTGACCTTCCACGAGATGGTCAATAACTCCCCCTCCAAGTAAACTGACTGATCCTCCCTCTTCTACCTTGCCACGGTTCAAATGAAGAATGTTGAATTTATGGAGTCCAAAGGGCATGCCGATATCATTAGAAATTGACTTGACAAGCAGAATCTGTTTTGTGAGTGAGTTATTTGCAATAAGTTCAAGGTCATCCATGTGAAGGAGGTGAGTAAAGGGGTGTTGGGGATCTGTGCTGAGGAGGTCCAGGATGCTAACCTTCCTCTTTGCTAAGCAAAAAGCTAAAAGGATTTAATGACAAACAGAAAAAGCAAAGGACTGAAAGAATCGCCCTGAAAGATTCCTCTTCTTATAGAAATGGGTTCCGAAGTCACCACCTGCCCCTGCGAATACATCTCAAGTTGAGTTGACCAGCAATTCATAAAAAAAACTTGAGTAAAACAAGTAGCTATAGTCGCTCGGGGAGGTCAATACATTCCAGTGACTTCAAAATCCATCCGTGAGGTACAGAATCATAAGCTTTTCTGTAGTCTATCCAACACATTGAGAGGTTACGGTGGTAAGATTTAGCCTCTTCAAGGATCCCTTTCTGAACTCCTTTCTGCTCCATGTAAATAATGTCATTGGATGCACAGTATGATGACACAATATCTGTAAGACATCCTGTAAATATTTTGTATTCCGTATTCAGACAAGTAATAGGGCGGACGTTTTGGGGGATCAGTCAAATCACCTTTCTTTGGGAGAAGTATTGTTCGACCCTTGCACAACCAAGACGGAACATCCCCTGTATCCACAAGAGATTTAAAACAGTGAAGTTATGGTGTTTGGACACAAGGAAACAGTTTCCAAAACAGGTTTCGAATACCATCAGGTCCTGGCGCCGTATTAGATTTGGACTTATTATTATTAATATTATTATTATTGTTGTTGTTGTTGTTGTTACATGGCATCTCTATTTCTAAAAGGTTACTTCTGGCACATCACAGACCTCCATTACGACACAACGTACTGGTCTGAAATGCGATCCTGCAGTGACCAAGTTCCTGTGCGGGGCATCTATGGCGACTACTGGTGTGACGCCCCCTGGCGGCTCGTAAACGACAGCATCAACGCCATGGTCAACATCAATCGAAACGTCGACTTCATCCTGTGGACTGGGTAAACACATAATGCATTCAAAGGGCTTCAATCAAAAATATGTTTGCCGTTCTAATAGTACATGGACGTCACGGTGTGCATGGGAAATGTGGAAAGCTTACAACATCGTTTCTGATTCTAACGCGACAAGAGAGTCAGGTACGGATAAGAGTGAGTGAGTGAGTGAGTGAGTATGGTTTTACACTGCTTTTAGCAATATTCCAGCAATATCATGGCGGGGGACACCAAAAATGGGCTTCACACATTGTACCCATGTCGAGAATCGAACCCGGGTCTTCGGCGTGAGGAGCGAACGTTTTAACCACTAGGCTACCCCACCGCCCCTCGTCAGCATGATGATGGTTGAGTAGCCTTGTGGTTAAGGCTTTTGCTTGTCATGTTGAAGATCAGGTTCGATTCCATACGTATTGGTAAATTAATTGGCCGTTAATGACGTAGGTTATAAACTTTTACCCTATTGGTGCGGACAAACCAAGCTTGACAACATGTAGGAATGTAGAAATAGAACTATCGATTAGCGGTCAATGGCGTTACAAGTGAAGGCTTTAACCACAAGGCTACCCGACCGCCTCTGGCACAGATAAGAGTCTCAACACAACATGACGTTTTCGAAGCTTATGGCCACCTCTCTAAAGTGATTTCAAAAGAAGAAACACAATGATATGAAAATGGAGTTCTTTCTCACGACAACGGATCGTGGTAGATCTATGTTAGAAACGAGTTAACACATTAGACAACTGATCCATCCATCATGATAATGCAAGCGGATAATTCGTCCCAATAATATTTTTTTTTATAAAAGCCTTCTAACACAAACCACTTTAATTTGTTTCCCAATTCCATAATGATAAATACCCTGCAGCTACATGAATTCGCTGCCGCACCATATGTTTTGGAAGTGACGAGACCTCTTCTGTTGCCCATATCTCTAAAATACTAAATAATCTCTCTCACTCATTTCATTGGACGTCTGTTTTTTGCATCCAAGCTTGGTTATAAATGCGTCTGAACAGGATAAATAATTCGGCCCTTTGAAATGACTTCGTCCTTTCCCAAAACCAAAAATTATCACTTTAAATGGCTCCTCTAAGGTACCACCGGACCATGTTCCTTCACCTGAAGAAAACGCGATTCTCTTATTTGACAAATGTGTTAAAACAGACATGTACCATCTACCTGTATTCCACTATGTGTGACCGTCTCCGTTGTCTACCAAAAGACGTTAAAAAATGATACTTGTTGTTGATGATACGCTGCCTTGCGCTCGGCATTAAGGGGTTAAAAAACAAAGACTGGTCGGTTCGGAATCAGCATACTGTGTCTGCGTGGGGTATTCATGTTAAACTGCAGCATGTATGTCAGTTGGCAAGCACTACAAAATCGGCTTTAGTCCGGACTAGTACAAGCAGACACACACACACACACACACACACACACACACATGCACGTCGCTGTATGAGTGCAATAATCTTGGACGCGACTTTAAACCCAATTTCGCTTCACCCCCACCTTGTGTTACAGAGATAACGTGGGCCACATAGAGGACGAATACTCCAGTGAGACGTACGTCATGGACATCCTCAGAAATATCACTAATGCCTTGAAGACGGCGTTCCCGGGGGTCAAGGTGTACGCCACGATGGGGAACAACGACTGGTTCCCTTCCGACCAGCTCCCTGACACATCACACTTCCTGTACAACGCCACTGCCGACCTCTGGGAAGACTGGATTGGTGACCAAAATCAAGTTGAAAATTTCCGTAAAGGTAGACAGTCACTACATTACGTTAGAGACATAGTGATCAAATGCATAAGGGTTTACAGCTGTTGTGTACCATCTTGAATCTGTGTGATATGCTTCCCTGTTTAAATATGGTTCTCCCAACAGAATTCGTGGGGTATTGGTGCTCTAAGGAGTTGTTGTCTCTTTGGATCTGATGACTTCACAGGTTGCACGTGTTTGCTTCTGTGAAGAATTGCGTCCCTTAGCTGTGTCATGATTCGGTGACCAAGCGATCATTATGATTATGGTCCTTGGTTTGTCAGCACCACAGTCGGGGCTTGCTCTTCAATCTACGTTACTTTTGGCGTTCACATTAAACCGATAAGCCACGTTAGAATTCATAATTTTCTGAATAATTCATCTCATGTCAGGCGCCTACTATACTGTGAAGACAACCCAAGGACTGAGGATCATAGGACTGAACACAAACCTGTACTACACCTCGGACAAACTGACCGCTGATATGACCGACCCTACTGGTCAGTTCGCCTGGCTTGAGGAGGTCCTCAGGAACGCCAAGACAGCTGGAGACAAGGTAGTTACACAACAAATCAGTATATTTCAAATTAATATTAAGTTGAAGTTAGGGCCTTTGTTTGAAAGCCTTTTGTGAAATAAATCTGTTTGTTAACATAATATGTAATTTTTCGAATTTTAGAAATCCTAGGTGATCATCTAATTTGATCTAAATACTGTCAGTGAACGTGTTTAAAATGGACGCATCTTATTTAATCTAACGGACTTCTGAAACTAAGCTTCATAGTGCCAACACTGTTTTGTTATTTTGGTATTTAAACACAAATAATGAACATTAATGTAGTTGAAGAAACCACACTGACTTCCCTTACTGCTTTCCTTGCTGAAGGTGTTGATGACCGCCCACGTCCCTCCAGGCATCCATGTTCCTGGGAAGGTCAAGCGTTTTTACACCCATTACAATACCCGCTTTCTCGATATCAGCCGTACATTCTCCGACATCATCGTGGGCATGTTCTTCGGTCACGACCACTACGACGGATTCAAACTCTTGCAGAAGAATGGTGGTGGGTAGCAAGCTGCCAATGTCATTGGTTATTAACTGCTATCTTCGAAGATAATGAATTATACTTCTATAATATCGAGGGATATAAATACGGAGGGATATTATGGTCATGGTGCTTCGAACCGAGGGATGCACAAGAGACAGGTTCCAGGCATCTACTATATATGTCCTCAACATCCACAAATTCTACGCGTTTGGAGTCATAAAATGTTGTGAACTGTGCTCTAAAATCTTAATATTTTGAAATGTATATAAAAGCGACAAAACCCTTTCCATATTCAATAGAAACCTCTGCGAAAAGCAGAGTCCATTGTACAATTCCGATTATATCATGAGCATGTGTTCATGAATCCCTATCAAATAGTGATGATACTAGGTGTTCGCGAAAAGGTGAGCGTATCCTTCGTGATGGCACCCGTCACAAACACATCAAAGACAAGTCAACTGTTCACCAGAAAAAAAAACAGGAACATATGGTATAAAATAGGGAATTGCATTGGACATATATTTTGTCACTAATGCGTCAAATTTGGAAATGACCTCCACATATATACCATAAAACTTTTGAATGTAACCGTGATCAAACAACTTCTGACCAAGAGTCGTATGATGCTCTTTGCAATCTTGGTATTGTATCTAAAAAAGTTGTGAAATGTAGACACCAAAGGCTGGAACTGCTTGAATATTGCTGAGCCTTGTGATTAAGGGAAAGTTGACTATTGGAAAGTTGAAGTCATCCCTCTTGGCATACACTCTTGAATTTGAAACCGAAAGCGTAGAATGTGAAGTATGAGATCTGCTCAATGGTGTTTTAGAAAAGGTGGTATTTGATCCTGGTCGATGTTATCAGGTGCTCCATATCCGCGTGCAACCATGAAAGAAGAATTATATTTCAAGCTATTGGCAATATCATCCATTGATTATATAAAGCAGATAGCATAATGGTTCGCTCTAGGTGGATTTTCTTGGTATATTTCAGGGAGTCCAGGTGTGCCTATGTTCATGGCTCCATCAATCACCCCCTGGCGTTACAAAATTCCAGAAAAATCCGGGGATCCTCACAACCCAGCCATTAGACTTGTCAAGTACAACCAGCAAACCGGAGTCCCACTTGACATCCACCAGTATTACATGAACCTGACGGACAGCAACAGAAACAATGCATCAGACTGGAAAATTGAATACAAAGCCAGCGAGGAGTATGGACAGACTGATCTCTCGGCAGTCTCCGTTGATAATATTATAAAGGCATTCAAGACTGACAAGTCCCTTCTGGATAAGTATATCAGATACAACACCGTCCTTGCTAATGGAGACACTACAGTGAATGCCTGTGACGAGAAGTGTCGAGCTGAATATAACTGTGGTTTCATAATGATGAACGAGATTTCGTTCGACTCTTGCTACAAAGCACAAGTTGGAGGTTCGGCAAGGCTGTGTTCTTCGTCCCTTTTCATTGCCATGTTTGCCACCATGTATTATGTACTTATTTAGAGAGAAATATCTGTTTCGGATCGATTTCTGTATACAACAATTTGAACATCTGTTGTATTTTTGTACTGTTTGTATTTTTGGACCGAATTTAATTATTTTCTTGATGTATTTGCAATTCAGCAATTAGATGGTCGATCAGTACACGTTATTATATATTGGTACTGATATAGCATCCTGTTCCTGTGACATTGAATAAGATTTTATGCAAAGTTTTTAACAAATCTGAAACAATTTCGGTTTGGCCAGGAGATGACATTCACGTTGTTTTGTTAAAGATAATCCTGACCAAGTCGAGCAATAATGGCCAGGCGTTGTCATGTTGAAAGGTAATGCCTGGGACATGACGACGCAAAAACGGTAGAAGAACAGGGCCGATGATCTCGTCGCGGTAGAGCTGTTCATTGAGATTTCCCTCTACCTCTATCAAACGGGTCCTCTGTCTTGCTGTAAACCCACCCCATACCATAACGCTGCCGCCCCCGAACCGTTCTTGCAGTCAGTGTTGCTGGCTGGAATCGATTTCGTAGGTGTTGTTCGAATCCAGTTGTCTTGTCGATTATTGGTTACGCGCGGCCTTCCACTCCGAGGATGGTCTCTGACTGCATTCGTCTGTAGCCAACGTTGCCATAAACACTAAATAGTGTTTCTGTGGACGTTAAATTGTCTTGCAACATCACGTTGACTCGATCCTGCTTCAAGCATACAAATGGCTTGCAGACGCTCGTGGCATTTGTTGTATTCTGAGTTGTTGTTGTCAGCACGATGCTAAACAATGCATATGGAATCCCGTTAACGCACATGTTTTTATACCCATTCTTCGGTAATGACATACATGGGGTTTGCATAAAAGTCAACTTTTGCATGGAATGCATGCTTTTCTGTAGCAGTTGCGTTTTTGTGACTTGAAAACCATACTTAACTTGTTTGAAAAATACACTAAAATATTGGTGTCACAGGAACTTATGCTGCATATATGCTTATAACGAACTACGATTATAACAAACTAAAGTTAGTGGTCCCTATGAGTCCTTTATAACCGAAGTTTACTGTAAGTCATCCGAATACCCATGGTTCACGCTAAGGAACTACACAGAGGTGAGACACTAAGGTGAGATACTAAGGTGAGACAATAAGGTGAGATCTTATATTTAACATTTTAAGTCCATGAAATAGTGATGGAACATTTTGTTTTCACTGTTTTGCTTATCATTTAATAAAATAATGTTTTACAAAACTAATTTCTTTTGTTTTCTGCAAATGTTACATTTATCAATGCGAATACACAAATTCGAAGCTTATTACCTGAGATAGTTTGATAATGCGACATCACAAGGTTTATTAATCCCACATTTTGGAATGTGCACTTTGTTGGTGATATATCGAAAATATATTTGAAGAAAAAGTTCGATTATGTCTAATATTAAATGAGTGAGTGAGTTTGATTTTAAGCCGCTTTTTAGCAATATTCCCGCAATATCACGGCGGGGGACACCAGAAATGGGCTTCAAACATTGTATTCATGTCGGGAATCGAACCCGCGTGACGAGCGAACTCTTTAACCACTAGGCTACCCGACCGCCCCTCAAATATTAAATCTTCACACATTCGTTCTAAGGCTAGGTTGTAGAGAGTGAGTTTTAGCTTACATATATGCTTTAATATTTTCTTGTTTTCACACATCACCATTCGTGCATTTTTGCATTTAATCAGAGGCAGTGGTGGCTATTTGGTCTAAGGCGTTATCAGGCTTGGTTCACGTGATTCCAACAACATTTGGCTTGTCTGCTTACTAAACATTTACTACCTGGAACAATCGGGCAGTAAATTATATACCCGAGAAATAGTATTTACACAAAAGACACTTACAACCTTCAAAAAAGGAAACGCACAGGTAGTGTGCAGTTCATTGAACCTGACTACCCAAAAATCCGGTATATGAATTGGGTATAAGTTATTAGAAAATGTTTATGGCCTGATTTTCTACAAACGGTGCGTCAAAACGCAGCCATTGTCGATTTGCAATGTCTTAAACGGCATTGTTTTCACACTTGTTCAAAAATGTCATGGAGGAAAACAGTAAAGCAAAATGCACGTGCATGTTATGGCATTCGTAACTCGTGGTAGCGGTTATAAAAAGGCAAGCATAAGCCAATAAATTGTAATTCAATGGTCAACATTTTTCAAGTTCGAAATTGCCGATCGGAACATCGCCATAGAACGTACCCAAAGAGGGGAATCGCAGTCTTCTGTTGCACGCCACTTCAACGTCCACCACAGCACCATTTGCTGCCACTTGCTGCCTTTGTGAACGATACACACAGTTCAATTCCACTGCAGACCGCCCGAGAACCGACCGACCAAGGGTTACGACCCCTGCACAGGATCGCTACATTCGACTGTTCCACCTACGTCATCGCAATGACACAGCTACGGAAACTGCAGGTCGCATCCCTAGAGGAGGATAGCGGACCAGACTAGTACTGTCAGGATCCATCCTCGCGAGGCTGGAATCCCACCCAGAAGACCAGTTATCGTCCCTGTTTTGCATCAGTTCCGTCGACAGCGACGCTTGCGTTGGTGCCATACCTTACAGCATTGGAATTTGAGAAACTGGAGGCGAGTGTGGTATAGCGATGAATCGCGATTTCTTCTTCACCGGCGAGATGGAAGGCATCGTGTTTATCGTTATCGAAATGAGCGTTTTGCCCCACATTGTGTATGTGAATTCGACAATTTCGTTGGCGGTAGTGTCATGATGTGGAGGTCATATCCTACACCAGGAGATCTGGCTTGGTTGTGGTTCAGGGAAATTTGACACCAAATCGCTACATGAATCAAATTCTTCAACCTCACCTTTTGTTTTTCCTTCATACTTTACACTACTGACATCGCGAATGTTTAATCTAAGAGTACATACTTACACAAACTGCGATGCAGTGTAAAACAATAAAAGCAAAAATAAAAAATGTCATGGGCGACCCTGGGGTCTGAAACGCCACAAATTACTTTCTTGCGACATAAGGATCATGAGTTATGGGTTCGAATCCCAGATGAACCTTCCTTGTATGTGGTACATTGTAGACATATTTTGCTCAAGTATTATACTTACACGTGTTCAATGACTGACCAAATGTCAGAGCTGTGGTCAGGTTCCCCTGATCATGGGCTTGAAGTCATGAATCGTTATTTTTGTGATTTTTGTTTTACGTGAATTTCACCGAAATTGTAAAAAATGTACACAGCAAGCTTCACTTTGTGTTTTCTTCCCACAATGGTGCTGACACGTTGAGGTGTTGCTCAAGTACTGATCGACTCTCTTAAATTCTCAATAATGTTTCTCTCTCTGTTGTTGTGGTGCTGGGACTGTAGAACAAGAACACCAAGGTCCCGTATAGTCGTGTGAGCTACAGACCAGCGGTTTCTTCTGTCAAAAGTTTGTTGTTTTGGGGTTTTTTGTTTAACGCCGCACTCAGCAATATTCCAGCTTTATGACGGCGGTCTGTATTAATCTAACGGGATCGGGTGGTTAGGCTCGCTGACTTAGTTGATGCATGTCATTGATCCTGATTGCGTGGATCGATGCTCATGAAATTAATCACTGGATTGTCTGGTCCAGACTTGATTATTTACAGACCGCCGTCATATAGCTGGAATATTGCTGAGTGCGGCGTTAAACAACAAACCAACAAACCAACCAAGACTTGCTGACATAGTTGATGCATGTCATTGTATCCCGATGCTTATGATGTCAATCACTGGAATGTCTGGTCCAGACTCGATTATTTACAGCGGACATTCAAGAATTGCCTAGTTGTATATAATAAGTGAGTGAGTTAAAAGTGAGTGAGTTTTAAGTTAAAAGGCCAAATCGGCAGTATGTCAGCCACATCGGGAATACAAGTTATACATTAATAATTATTATATTTTGACTTGAAAATATATCATCAAAGGAGAATAAAAAAATAGACTACCACAGATGTGTTGTTTTTAAAGTAATGTATAATCATAAAAAGGCGATGGTAGTTAATAGCCTGTGACGGTAGTATAGAGCCCATGATGGTAGTATAGAGCCTGTGATGGTAGTTTAGAGCCCGCGATGGTAGTTTAGAGCCTGCAATGGTAGTTTAGAGCCTGCAATGGTAGTGTAGAGCCTGCGATGGTAGTAAAGAGCTCATGATGGTAGTATAGAGCCCATGATGGTAGTTTTGAGCTAACGATGGTAGTATAGAGCCCGTGATGGTTTTATAGAGCCTGTGATGGTAATATAGAGCCTGCAATGGTAGTATAGAGACCGCGGTGGTAGTTTAGAGCCCGCGATGCTAGTATAGAGCCCGCAATGGTAGTTTTGAGCCCGCGATTGTAGTTCAGAGTGTGTGATGGTAGTATATTTCCTGTGATGGTAATATAGAGCCCGTGATGGTAGTTTTGAGCCCACGATGGTAGTATAGAGACCGTGATGGTAGTATAGAGCCCGCAATGGTAGTTTTGAGCCCATGATGGTAGCATAGAGCCCGTGATGGTAATATAGAGCCCACGATGGTAGTATAGAGCCCGCGATGGTAGTATAGAGCCCGTGATGGTAGATTTGAGCCCGCGATTGTAGTTCAGAGTACGTGATGGTAGTTTAGAGCCTGTACTGTTAGTATAGAGCCTGTTATGGTAGTTTTGAGCCCGCGATTGTAGTTCAGAGTCCGTGCTGGTAGTTTAGAGCCTGCAATGGTAGTATAGAGCCCGTGATGGTAGTATAGAGCACGTGATGGTAGTATAGAGTCCGCGATGGTAGTATAGGGCCAGTGATGGTAGTATAGAGCCTGTGATAGTCATATAGAGCCCGTGATGGTAGTATAGAGGCTGTGATGGTAGTATAGAGCCTGCGATGGTACATGTAATATAGAACCCGCGACGGTAATATAGAGACCGCGATGGTAGTATAGAGCCCGCGATGGTAATATAGAGTCAGTGATGGTAATATAGAGCCCGCGATGGTAATATATAGTCCACAATGGTAGTATAGAGCCCGCGATGGTAATATAGAGTCCGCGATGGTAATATAGAGCCTGCAATGGTAATATAGAGCCTGCGATGGTAGTATAGAGCCCGCGATTGTAGTATAGAGCCTGTTATGGTCGTTTTGAGCCCGTGATGGTAATATAGAGCCCACGATGGTAGTATAGAGCCCGCGATGGTAGTTTTGAGCCCTTGATGGTAGTATAGATCCCGCGATGGTAGTATAGAGCCCACGATGGTAGTATAGAGCCCGCGTTGATATAGTCATACTATAAACAGAGTACTGCTGAATGCGGTGTAAAAACAACAAAGTACTGACAGAGTATATTTTATCTGTAAACTATCAATGCGTCGCAAATATTACACTTTGTTCAATGCTGAGTTTCCTTTTCTGTCATGCAGTGTTGAAAGGATGATACTTGTGTTTGGGTACGCTGGAAAATAAAACATTACCTTGCATTATCCCATACACCATATCAAAGCTCAGTTACTGGTGTATCAAATGAATCTATATTTAAAAAGTGCGTGTATGTTGTTTTGATCGCACATAACAATATTATATCTGTGGACAACATTTTCGAACAAAGACTGTCGATGTACTCACAAGAGAAAGGAACACGCCCTAAAGTCCCGGTTGAGATCAGATACAACTTTCATATCCTCTTCAGTCAGTTCAAAGTCAAGAATCTGTGAATAGATAGAAAAGCTGCATCTATGGAAAGCTGTGTATTTTGTAACAGTTCACCAGAAAGTGTCCTTACACGATCTATTCTTTCTCAGCACGCATATTTGACAAGAACGGTGAGTGAGCGAGTCGCGCATAACGCCGCTTTTAACAGTATTCCAGCTAAATCACTGCGTGTCAACTTAATGTGGGAGGAATTCCAGAAACGATGCAGGTCTTAGACGTCTACCACTTCGGTGAAACCAACGAGCACGGGTATGGTGCTTACAAACCTAGAAACATTATCAGGGCGAACCGGGATTCGAACCCACAATTGCAATCATGCGTTTCCGGCGTGCCCAAGGGACGCAACTCTGCACAGCGAATTGCGGCGCCTTAGACGACTGGGCCACCCGTGCCCTCTTTAACAAGAACAGGGCACCGCTGGTAAACAGAGAGGTGGTGAGTGGTCATGTCAATGGATAAACATGAGTGGAACCGTTCCCAACGTTTGCAGGATTGTTGTCACCCAAAACCGTAGAGTGAACGAGGATGCAACTGTGTCTTATATTTTGTACCTGTGAACTGGCTTTAGAGTAAACTACGGTTATTACGAACTTAAAGGGACTGCTAATTTTAGTTCGTCATAACCGTAGTTCGTTATAAGCATATATACAGCATAACTACAGCAAATAGTCAGGACCAAAAAAGTAAGTTCGTTATATCGGTCAGTTCGTTATAAGCGTGTTCGTTATAACTGTAGTTTACTGTATTCGCATTCATCTAGTAATCTAGCACGTGAGGCGGGGTGAAGTGGGGTTAAACGGCGTTCGAGATTATTTGCTCATATAGCGACGTGAATGTAAACGAACAGTTTAAACGCATCACCACTATACCAATGACTCAGTAATCTTGAACTACAGTAAACTATGGTTATAACGACCTCAAAGGGACCACAAATGTTTGTTCGTTATAACCGTAGTTCGTTATAAGCATATATACAGCATATATACAGCAAATGGCCGGGAACCAAAAAAACAGTTCGTTACATCTGCCAGTTCGTTATAAACGGAGTTTACTGTATATGAAGGCAATGTTTGGTTGGTTGGTTGTTTAACGCCGCACTCAGCAATTTTCCAGCTATATGACGGCGGTCTGTAAATAATCGAGTCTGGAACAGACAATCCAGTGATTGACATCATGAGCATCCATCCACGCAATTAGGTTCGACAAGCATCAACCAAGTCAGCGAGCCTGACCACCCGAACCCGTTAGTCGCCTCTTACGACAAGCATAGTCGCCTCTTACGGGAAGCATGGGTTGCTGAGGACCTATTCTACCCCAGATTTTCGTGGTTCGCATTGTCTGGTAAAAGAAACATAGCGTTATTCTTGAATACCTGTATATTCTCCTTGATCCTAGATGGTGTGACGCTCTTGGGAATGACGGAAAGGTTCCTTTGTACCCCCCAGCGCAATGCCACCTGTGTCGAGGAAGTAGATACGGTCAAACACCGTTGTGTCGAATATTGATATGTCGAACTTTGATGTGTCGAACATACTGTTAAGGCATGTTTGCTGCGTATTCCTGCTTAAATCATCCTTATCGGTTGTGTCGAACATCGGATAATTCGAAGTATTTATGTAGGTCCCTTCAACTTCGACACAACGGGTTTGACTATATCAACCAATAAAGGTGAAGAAACGTGAACTGTAGTGTGGATAAATGGAGTTCATAAATGTTGTTTTTTATGATCTGTTTTACATACTGCACTTCGTAACACTTATGGGAATTTTATTACGTTTCAGGGGCGGTCGGGTAGCCTAGTGGTTAAAGCGTTCGCTCGTCACGCCGAAGACCCGGGTTCGATTCCCGACATGGGTACAATGTGTGAAGCCCATTTCTGGTGTCCCCCGCCGTGATATTGCTGGAATATTGCTAAAAGCGGCGTAAAATCAAACTCACTCACTCACTCACTATTACGTTTCATGTGGTTCGGTGATAATTATGATGGGTTATCACCCATGAATAAAAGCAAGTTTTGGCGACTGAGAAGTAATATGTGCCAAACAGACAAGGCTATCGTTCATCATCCTTCTTCGTTTCAGCATATTTTGACGAAATGAGTGAGTGAGTTGGGTTAAACGCCGCTTTCAACATTATTCCAGTTATATCACGGCGTGTCAGCTTTATGTGGGAAGAAAGCCAAAAGTGATGCAGGTCTCAGACGTTTACCACTTCGGTGAAACCCACGAGCACGGATATGGTGCTGACAAACCTAGAAACATAATCGGGGCGAACCGGGATTCGAACCCACAATCATAGGTTTCTGGCGTGCCCAAGGGACGCCACTCTGCACAGCGAAGCGCGGCGCCTTAGACGACTGTGCCACCCGTGCCCCCCGTGAAGGCTGGTGCATTATAAGTATGCGAAATGTCGTATCCTTATAAACATTTACCTGTGCTGCCGTTTTACCGTACTTTCTGCCCAGTTCTTGTAGTGTTGGTTCCGTGGCGATAAGTGGTCGATCTTTCATTGACCTGAAGTAAATAGTAACGAGTATCACTTTTTACTAGTATGTCCGCATTATGATGAACTAAGAAAAGTATATTTACCAAAATATTTTCATATAAACCATTGTACATTTAAGTTTAAACTATTACTGACCACTAGCAACATTGAAACCATAAGAAATCTTTCTATGTACATATATCATGCTTTTATACAAAGAAAATCAAGTTTGGAAATTATATGATTGTACCAATTGCTCCTGTAATCATGTTTGTACTATAGGCCTGTGGCCTCCTCAGTACGTTGAATGAAGAAATTGAGTCGAATCTAAATAGTGATACTTAGCAATGACTACCTTTCCTAATAATTGTCAATTCGTTATGGAATGACAAACATTTTTTTTCGTTTTACCTAATATAAGACCAAACTGTTTTTGTGGAACAAAGTATTTTTTTAGAAAGCATCCGCTTTCAGTTGAATGTCGGTCACGTTAAGGAGGGTCCCACTTTTGGAACGCTGACATGTGGAAATTATTATATATTCTTAACGAACGTGCTGACTTACTGTAAAGCAGGGTTGTCAGCGGACCCAAGAGGTGCGTATGCGGTGACTGTAACTCCGTTCTCCTTGCAGAACGATACTAGTTTGTCATTGGTTAGATACGGAGATACCTCAATCTGGGAATTTATTAAACAACAATCTCATTAAAATCATATCTTGGTTTTCGCTACCGCTAAACAGAGATCTGAGAACTCCCCATTATGGTTCACGTCAGACCGACATTCCGCGATTTTTGACCGACCAATTGAATGACTGACAAGAAGTCGACATTAGCCAATCAGAAGGCCGCTTTATCGTGCTTTACGGCACTTAGTTCAAACTGGCGACGAAGCTTCGAAACATATTTTGACAAATTTTCGATTAAAAATTCGAAACCCGAACAAAAGAACATTCATTCGGAATACCACGTACCAAGGTTTTCGAGGTTGCATGATTAGAAATCACATTCCAACTGTCACTTTCATAATCTGGTTAGCGACGCTCTGATTGGTCGGATGAAAGATCGTTCTGACGTGACCCCTAATGGGATGTCCTCAGATCTTTGTTTAGCGGTAGCGAGAACTAAGATCTGATTTTAATGAGATAGATAAAACAACAACATTTGTAGGATAAATCATATCGTCAAAACATCTGTGTTCCTCCATCACTCGGGGCGGTCGGGTAGCCTAGTGGTTAAAGCATTCGCTCGTCACGCCGAAGACCCGGGTTTGATTCCCGACATGGGTACAATTTGTGAAGCCCATTTCTAGTGTCCCCCGCCGTGATATTTCTGGAATATTGCTAAAAGCGGCGTACAACCATACTCACTCACTCACTCACTCCTCCATCACTCGTTAACACATACAACAGAATTTCGGTAAAGTCTCTGTTTTAACCAACGATCAAAACACGGCCTTGTTCCAACTGGAGAGTGAGTGAGTGAGTGAGTTAAAATTTAACGTTGCGTCGGCATTATTTCAGCCATATAGCGATCCAGCTGTAGAAGGTCACCTTCTTGGTGTACTGGACAGAGCGAAAGGTCAATGGTTTGATCCCCGCCACGTTATGACAAAATACGTTGAAAATTGGTTCTTGTTGTTACCCTGCCTTCCGCATGTCATTATAACTAACGTGAGTAAGTGTGAATGAGGTGGGTTTAACGCCGCTTTTAACAGTATTCCAGTTATATCACGGCGTGTCAGCTTAATGTGGGAGGAAAGCCCGAAGGGATGCAGGTCTCAGACGTTTACCACTTCGGTGAAACCAACAAGCACGGTTATGGTGCTGACAAACCTAGAAACATAATAGGGGCGAACCGGGATTCGAACCCACAATCATAGGTTTCTGGCGTGCCCAAGGGACGCAACTCTGCACAGCGAATCGCGGCGCCTTAGACGACTTGGCCCAACGTGCCCCTTTATAACCAACGAAACTGACCATAGATATTTAAGACATTTGAACTAAATTTGTGTCAGCATCGGACAAAACATACATGCCAATATTTACCTTCTTATATAATGGTTGTAATGATATGTGAAGAAATTGAGGTGTCACCATCGGCGGCAACATACAACATGAATGCAAAATTTCAGCTCATTGATCTGGCAGGTTTCAGAGAAGTTGACAAAGGCATGTGATCAATGTTATCTAAAACATAAACATATTTACCTGATTTGTTACGGGTTTCAGCTTAAGCCCGTCTGTTTTCAGTAATCTTTCCATTTGTTCCAAGTTAAAGTTAGACACGCCGATGTATTTAACCAGTCCTTTGTCAACCAAGGACTCCATTGCCTGTTGCCAGACAAACAACTGTGTTTTATTAAAAGATAATTTCATATATAGGAGAACTCAAGATCTTAGCTTCAAAATAATTATGCACATAGATTCTACTTGTCTTGGTTTTATATACGCATTTGACTTTGAAAGTTTTCTTTTAAAGAAAAATCAAACCTTATACAGTAAACCATACAATATGTTCGTGATATCTGTAGTCCCTGACTCGTAAATCGTCATCCGCCATTTTGGATTCTCCAGCTATTCGTAAACTATATTTATGGATACGTATATATGTGGCAAAACGATTTCTTTTGAACAACCTGGTATTATTGTTACAGAAGAACTTTGTCACTCTGAGAAAGAGCTATTGTAGCGCTAGAATGCAACTGCTAAAGAGTTTGAGCTATAGCTCTTAATTCGTGTTTCAGAATTCGTTTCCCATGTGAATTCTGTTGATAATGTTGAGTAAAACAATTGGGAATTTGAAAAGACGCGTTTATGTTCTTAGTACATTTAAACGTGTTCGTAATAAAACTGTTCAACCATATGTACATGCAGTCGATTGATGACAAATTCATAAATGTTAATTAATGACAAGAAAATGAGCAGTGGAGATGCCCGACCTTCCACGTGTCCACGTAGTCTACGTCAGACATGAGAAGGTTGCCGGCTGCGTCTCTTGGACAGATTTCATTGGACTCCTGTTTAAACAAAGTGAAAATTTTGCTGTATACTTCAGAGTGTAAGATTTTTTCAAAGTTGAGAGAAGTGATATTTTCATTTCAGTGAACATAACACTTGATATCTCACTGCAGTGAACATAGCACTTTATAATTCACAGCAGTGAACATAACACTTGATGGAACTATTGTCATACATGAATTACCTCCCCGCAAATTGTCTCCCCTTATCGTAAATGTCTAGCCCGTACACAACTGTTGACTTCCTTTTTACGTTACTTCCACACTGACAGGGCAATATAATGACAGATGGTCATTTATGGAGTTATTTGTCGCTTCTTGCCGTTTGTAATTCTCTTGAAAATGTTTCGTTATAAACTGTAAACTTTTCATTTAACTCATCAATCGAGACTGTTTGTTTCGCAAAGCGCCATGACGGAGAATTTCCGTGACCCTAAAATATATTTGTTTCTCTTGTTTATATTTTTTGAGATATTGAAAACACGGAACTACTTATTAAGTCGCAGTTACAAGGGGTGGTGAACCGTCCCTGCATGTGAGTTAGTGAGAATTTACGTTTCAAGGTTTTACATTTGTAATGAAATAATATAACCTTCCGGTAGACAACTACACAAAAAGTATGATAAATAAAACATTCCATTTGTATCGTGAAATAATAGGTTTCATTGACTGATGGGGGGGGGGGGGGATATCTCATTCCTCGCTCGATGTGTAAGAAGGACAAATTCACTGAAGTTCGTATTCCCGAGGAATTTTAATGTAATCGTTCAGAACTGAATGTCCGGGTTGGCCGAGTGTATGCACGGCTGTAGGACACGTACCTTGAAGGCAAACGGAGCATGCATCAGGTACAGGTCGACGTAGGACACGTCCAGCTTGTCCAGGGAATCACGCACGGCTGCCTCTACACGACCAGGCTCGTGATGAGTACACCATAGCTAGAAGGGGAAACGAATAGGTTGAATGCAAAATAAATTAGATGTTTTTGGTTGGTTTGTTTGTTTGTTCGTTTGTTAGTACGTTTGTTTTTGTGTTTGTTTGTTTATTTATTTATTTTTTTGCTGTTTGAAGCCGCATTCGGAATATGTGACTGAAGCCTGTTGATTGTCGAGTCATTATTATTGCTATTATTGGCAACGACGGGCTACCTTAACACTCATGTCACCGAGCCTGATCACCCGATCCATTAAGTCGCCTCTTACGACAAGCATCAGTCGCTTGAGAGCAATTCCAACTGGAATCCCCACGTATGTTCAGGTTTAATCTAAAATCTTGAGTTTGATAACGTCATTTGGCGTCGTAACAACGTAGAATATGAAGGTGCTTATTTAATACAGTTCAAAATTTAGCCCCAGGAATTACTTCCATGGTCTTCTGAAACTGAACTAGTTTACACTTTTAATGTATTGTGGGGGGCACGGGTGGCCCAGTCGTCTAAGGCGCCGTGATTCGCTGAAAAGAGTTGCGTCCCTTGGGCACGCCAGAAACCTATGATTGTGGGTTCGAAACCCGTTTCGCCCTGATTATGTTTCTAGGTTTGTCAGCACCATACCCGTGCTCGTGGGTTTCACCGAAGCAGTATATGTCTGAGACCTGCATCACTTCGGGCTTTCCTCCCATATTAAGCTGACACGCCGTGATATAACTGGAATCATGTTAAAAGCAGCGTTAAACCCAACTCACTCACTCACTCATGTCAGTGATCAAACATTTTAGTTTCAAAATCATTTACTTTCTTACTTTGGTGGTAATAAATAGGTCTTCTCTTGTAACTGTACCGTCGTCGACCTTCGCCTTGATCCCAAGACCTACTTCCGCCTCGTTGCCATAGCACCACGCACAATCAATATGGCGGTACCCACTTTCAATAGCAACCTTGACGGCTTCAGTCACCTTGCCTTTCTCGGACTGAAAAACGTAAGCGTCTAGAGGATTAATTTATTGATATGATTGAACCACAGTTATATTTAATGAAAGGTGGTCACGACCGTGTTTCAGTAATAATTTAGTGGCATGTCTTCCTCAAAAGGCAAGCTTCCATTTTCCCTGGAGATATTTGCCTGACATCCTATCGTCAAGTACGCGGATATGCCAGGTAACCAAATGGAAGTTGCTTGGCTTGGATAACGTGGGAGTCCAAGAAAGTTGTGATTAAAGCAGTGTATAAAATTCCCGAAAATGTGGGGAAAATTACCAGACCAGATAAAATGTTGACAGTCGAGAATGTTCTAGACAAACGAACACAAGTAACAAAAGGGTAAACAGAAGAATTGTACCGTTTAATGTTGTCGACAAAGTAACTTCAACTCATTGAAAATGTTGTAACTCATCTTCCAAGTCTGCTTTATCCATAACTGAAAACTAATCCATAATTACAGAACAGCCGATAACCCACCGATATAGAACACGTGCCCATTCCTAGGGCGTCGCCATATTGGCAACATTAAACAGGGCTCCATACACACAGTAGGCATCGCTCTTTTAAGGAATACTAGTACATACACTGTTATTAACAATACAAACCTAAAACATTAATATCAATAAACGAGACAATGACTGAATAAGTTGTTTAACGTTTACAGTAAATTCACCTCTTACCCGGAATTAAAACTCAAATGCTTTAGGTATCCTAACCATACAGTGAGTGAGTTTTGTTCTTGGACCATCACGGCGGGGTACACCAGAAATGGTTTTCACACATTGTACGCATGTAACGAATCGAACCCGGGCTTACGGCTTGACGAGCGAATGCTTTAACCACCAGCTGTCATCTCGATTCTCACACAGTTATAATGTTACACACACGTCACTTATTAGAAGACTGGACCCATAGGCGACAGACAGTTGAGCAGAGTGCCCTTTTTACCCGTTAAAGGGAAGATGGGAGCACACAGGACTATAGACTAGCATGTTGTCTTTGACATCTTTTATTACACAATACATTGAAAAAAGATTAAAAATATAATTTTCCTGATGCTGATGTCATATGGAGCAGGCTTGAACTGGTTAAACATGCTTTTATATACATCTAGATTGTTTTTGTTTTCATAAATTAAAATATTCCAGTCATGGTGCAGGATTAACAGGACTAATCAAGACCGACAAATGCCGCAAATGAGGATTATGAAATTAATATCCCGTTTTACTTATATATAAAGGACGTGACCCAGCGTGACACTGAATGAGAATGTTGGGGTCAGTATCTAGAACATTATTACGCCGTTCTATTTACCACACCAGTACATCCCAGTCTGAACATACAATATACACGACTGACAGCAGCGCTGATCGTTTTCAGGATGCGCACCTATGCCTTTTTAAGCATACGTCATTGGAAGTATTACGGTTATCGGGTTTTATTGGTTATATTGGGAGTATGACTTTTAACAGTATAAGTACGGTATTACGGTACGGTTTCTTCAGCAAAAATAACGACTACAATATTTGAAAATTTCTTTGTGAACGTATATTTTTCCCCCTTCTTATTCCTCTCGTAATGATTACAATATAGTAACACAACACTTGTTCGAGGAGACCGCCACGTACACACACGCACGCGCGCCCACATATACACACGCACACGCACACGCACACGCACACGCACACGCACACGCGCCCCAAGTCTAAATCCGCCCCAACTTTCGAGAAGACACGCGAGTCTTACACAAACGCACAAATACACACACAGACACTACACACACACATATAGCTGTACCTTCCACGTGCCGAGGCCCATGCTGGGCATACATCCGCCGTTGTAGAAAGAGACGAAGGGGAGTGAACCTGACATCTCGACTCAGAGACGAATAACGATCGCTGTTACCTTCAACTGTCTTCTCAGTCCATTAACAGTCTGATCGGATGCAGTTTCACGAATCACCTTATCACGTGACGTCCTGCGTAAAACACACATCCGTGTTCTACCTGTGATGTACTCTAAAGCATTTGGCCGCCGGTTTCAGACTGGGGTCCAGGCAATGTCATATTGGATGTAGATAATGCAAATACTACACGTAGCACGATCCGGAAACCAGTCAATTGTAAATCACGTGGTGTTCGTTGTGAAGGTGACCTGATCTGAGCTAGACTTTGTGAGGCTTCTACACTTATTATTATCAGTTTAAAGTTTATGCCACTACGGCGGTCACTTCAGGCAATCCATTTACAATTTACTGAGTCTGCGGGGTAGTCTAGCGGTTAAGTCTTTCGCTGCTCACGCTAGACATACTGGGTTCGATTACAATGTTTGAGGCCTATTTCTGTAGTCTCTCTACATGATAAGTCCGGCACAATGAGAAACTTGGCGTAAAAACTTAACATGTTCACCGTCACATGCAACGAAACTTTCAGAGGGATTGTAACAGAAACAAGTGTTTCACCCCACCACGCCTAGTCATAATACGATGTACGTTCGCAAATGCTGGTCTAAGGGAGGTAACTCCTACGGCCCTTATTATGTCGCGAAACAAGGTTCAGCGTTGCAGTGTATGTGCGTGCGTGCGTGATTGCGTGTGTGCGTGAGGGCGTGTGTGTATGTGTGTGAGAGTGGGTTTGGGAGCGCGCGGGTGTGTGCGTGGCTGCTTGTACTAGTCTGGCCTTATGCCAGTTTTATATATAGTGCTAGCACACTGAGGTACCTTGCCGCAGTTTAACATGAATACCCCACTCAGACACAGTATACTGACTCCGATCCGACTAGTCCTTGTTGTAGCCCCTTAAAGCCGAGCGCCAGGCACTTTAGTCAGATCTGACAACAAGCATGACGCACTGATGACATAATCTGTCCCTCAATCTCCAAGGGCAGAAACATGTGTAAACGAAAGGGACTTCACGTGAAATTTACTCATGTGATTGTTTTTTGCATAGGAGTGAAAATTCTCACGTGAGCAAAAATATGTACCATGTCTGTTTCCATGTGGTCTTACGTATATGATGGTTTGACACTTTCGTATTCACACCGTCACAATATCTAGAATTAGCCTTGGGGAATCAGCACGGGATCGGGCACCACCTTCGAAGAAACCAAACAAAGTGTCTTCGGTCAGCCCCTATTTTGGGGTTTTCTCGACAATCTCTTTATATTTAATATAAGAAATATTGTTACACATAAAGTACAAAGTCATGTAGGACATTAATTTTACAGTTTTCACAAAAGAAGCAGTTATCACAATATTGTGTGATATTAAACAATGATTATATATAAGAGTTTACATTTCATGATAAACAAACGTACCGTGAGCTAAGTGATAAAACAACCAATTACAAATAACAATATTAAAGTCAGTCAACAAAGATACCTATGAACAAAGCTTACATAATCTTATGTGACATTTATTTTCAGCCACTCCTAATTATGATTACGCCTTGCGAAATGGCACTGCAAAAAGGTATATCTCATTTACGTACAAACATAGTTAAACCCAATATCGGTATCAAATGTACGCAGATTTAAATATAAATTCATTTATTTATGCAGGTATATGTTATACTTGAAGGCAATATATATAGTTTATCTAAACTACCGCAGCAAACAAACTACATCTGATAGCATCCACATACACTGAGTTAACGGGCCCATTTACCAATGTCCATTCTCATTACTGAATGGTATAATATATGGATATATGTACATTTTATGCATTGCTCTTTATGCAGACATGTTTGCTGAAGCTGTGTTACAAATGCATTATGCTCAGACCAATGTAAGTACAAGAGAGTTACCTATCCTATTTGTACATCGCTAACAGATGAACTAAATGATTACATGAATATTATTACTGACTTTAGCTCTGGCGTAGTTGTGCTATTAGCATACATATGTGGGATATAAATAATCATATATTAGCTTTAGAAATTAACGTTTTCTGCCAGGTTAGTTCCATCAAATAACTCTTATAAGCAATTATTTAAAGCAGTCTGGATTCTGTTTATGAACGAGTAGTACATGCAATGTATGGTTCATCATAGAATCCTTACATTAAAAGATAATGTACATACCTCGTGTGATATAAAAAGTCTTAACAAAGTGAGGTAGTTCGTCTGCATTTACACGACGTTTCCACGACACCCGAGTGTTAACACCTTTATTTCCGACCCGGAACATGTTTGATATTCAATATATGCTATACCGTGGAGTTAATACTTAAACGATAGTTTGGTCTAAACCCAACGCACGTACATTTGACAGATAAGTCCGTTAAAAAGATAAAACCCACTTAATATATTTGCCCTTATACATGGTCAATAACATAAGATTAAATACTTTTACAGCTGATAATATTGCTCTATATACGGTAAAAATTATAAAACAATTACATATTTCGAGAAATAGTAAAGTGAACATGACTTACTGTCATAGAAACCAAACAAAGTGTCTATGGCCAGCTCCTTTATTTGGGATTTCTCGACAGTGAGGTACCCCCGGGGCTAGTCAGTATATATACTCTAGACACCTTGAATGGTCACGAATTTACTGCATGTTCAACTTGATAATTTGAGTTCGTGCGCCGAGAATAGGGATTAAGGTTTTCCCAAGAAGTTTGACCAAGTAATATCCACATAAGTTGAATAATAATTAATGAGTAGTCCGAAAATATTGATATGAGTTGGACGTATCAGCAAACGTGTGCTAAGCGGTCCTTGCGATAGAGGCTGAGATAATACTGACCATGCTCAAAGGATGTTATACAATTTTCTAGATAGCTGCGCTCTTCACATGGGAGAATGACTAAATGCAGTGCTTTACGTTTACCTAAATTAAACCTAATAAAGAATATTACCACAGTTAACTTTTATATAAATATTGAGGAAAAAATGACCAATTTTACAACTATGACAATACCCCTGGGCGTCCTGGAGCTTTTGATTGAGAACGTTCAAAATATCACAATCAATCAAAAAGACAAAACACAATATCAATCATGAAATATGAATACACTAGCTAAAACAAATGATACATGATGCATTGCTCCAATATTGCTGCTCACAAACTAAAATGATTGCACTGAGGTAGGTGGTTCCAAAATCGTATACAAATTATTATGGTCAAGTAGGAGGTAGGCGCTGAAAGGTTGCTTGAAGATCTTTTGGAGTTGACGAGCATTGAAGTACGAAATTCTAATGGTATTGAGAATAGTGATGCAGTTTTAGTAAGCTGGTTAGTTACAATGAAGCCTGGCCAGTCAACAGAGAGGGTGGGGAGGAAGTAACCAGCAATGTGGAGGTTTTCCACAGTTGAGGGTGATTGAATATCCCAGTATGAAGGACAGAGTGTCAGAGATATGACTGGGATTGCCACACATTCAGAACCTGATGTGAGTTCAAGAACTAGACCATTCCGAGGACCTGAACGCTGTTGATAGAGAAGAAGAAGAAGGATGGAAGCAATAGCAAATATTATAAGTCCTTGGAGAATAGAAACAAGGTAGTCAGCAAGATCAGTAAGGACAAAGCTAGCTGTACCTGAACTGGGTGGAGTGTGATCATTATAATTAAGGGCAGGAGGTAACACAGCTTTAACAGGGCCAACGCAGATTACAAGCGTAAGCGCTGCTGAGATTTTGCGGATTTTGAAGAACATCCAACTAACCAGTTTAATGGCGACACCTGAGACAGCAGCAGCTGTGACAGCAATAACAGCACAAGTGTCAAGCCAGGAAGTTTGAATGGGAATTTGGCCATCTATGAGATGTTCTGCAATTGTTTTGAAAATAGTTTCATCTTTCTTTCCACTTTCTGCAATGAGCTTCAAACTAAGATGAGCTTTCTTGTTGTTAGCCAAAATAGTTGAATATTCGTGTGAATATATGCTAAAAGAATGGTAAGGTTGACATTTGTCTTCAAATTAGTATCTCCTGGAATGGTAGAGGACAGATGAATCAACTTAATGCTGAAGCAGAGCAATGTTGACAGGATACAGATGGGTGTAGTTATGTAACGGAAATCACAGAGCGTTTTAACTGCGATTTTGTCATTTTGGAATAATGCCAGAGGACAGGAAACGATTAAAGAGCTATATGAAAAGGACAGTGCAGAATATTTTCATCCCCATTGCATGATGCTAAAGTGTTAATATCCAAGTTAACATAATGTTGAGTTTCAGGAGAAAGTGCAAGATAATCAGGCATATCCAAAAGTTGAGTTTTATGAGGAGATGTAATGTTGATGGGAAGAGGCAGGGAGATAATTTTATACAACTGGAGGTAGTGAATGAAAGAGGAAATTGGAAACTTTTAGAAATATAAACGGAGGATTTTGCACGAGCAAATATGAATTTGGCATTGGAGTAGTAGAAGGCAGATGTTGTTTGCAAAAGTCTAAAGCTATGATATTTTTGAGAGAAATTGAGTGAGTTGGGTTTAACGCAGCTTTTATATCATGGCATGTCAGCTTAATGTGTAAGGGAAAGCCCGGAGTGATGCAGGTCTCAGACGTTTACCACTTTGTGAAACCCACGAACATGGGTATGGTGCTGGCAAACCTAGAAACATAATCGGGGTGAACCGTGATTCGAACCCACAATCATGGGTTTTTGGCCTGCCCAAGGGATGCAACTCCTGGTGTCCTGGTGTTCAACAACATATGCTTTCTGTATCTGATCTATCAAGAGAGAAGTTGATGTAACAAATGTGGATTGAATGGATTTAACATAGCTCCATAGCACAGGCCATAAAACGGATGGCATCATGATTTGCTTTCACATCTTTGATAGCATTTTTGAATCTGGTATCAACTAGCGTCATAAAGGAGGACAAATGTTCTGAGTGCTGTTGTAGAGTATGTGCAACAGTCATATCCTGTTTGGTGAAAACATTTTTGTGTTGGGCCAGAATATTGACATCATTTGTTGTGGCTGTTCCAAACAATGTTTTTGATAAGGAACCAACAAAACTTAGGACTGCCCCCTTTGTACGAGTTGATGATGGAGTTTTAGATTCGGGAATTTATTGCATTAGTTGTTGTCGCGTTTCATTTAGTTGTGAAACAATTTTTTTAATAACATTCACTTGTTCGAGGAAATCGACGCGCACACGCACGCACGCCCCCCCCCCCCCCCCCCCCCCCCTCC